TTATTTCTGGCAACCAGGATGAACAATTTGCATGTCATTGTAAGAGATAAGAGATTAGCATATAAAACTGTCGAGCACAAGATTGATTGATTTATTTATTGTCATGTGTACCGAAATACACTGAAAAGCTTTCTTTGCAAGCAGTAGAAGCAGATCATAGTAAGCGAAGGATGTACAGATCAAAAAGACTTAGAAAGAGGCATGCAGGTTACATTGTACAGGGCGTGTGCTAGGCAAGATCTACATTAGCAAGATCAGCATTATTTGTGACTAGAGAGTCCATTCATCAGTCTGATAACGGCCGGGAAGAAGCTGTTTCTGAACTTGCTCATGCATGTGTTCGGGCTTCTGTATCCTCTGCCTGATGGAAGAGGTTGAAGGAGATTGTTACCGGGGTGCGATGGGTCTTTGATGATGTTTGCAGCCTTCCACGGCAATCAGCTGTATAAATGGAGTCCATGGATGAAAGGTTGGCTTCCATGGATGATCTGGGCTGGGCACACCACATTCTGTAGTTTCTCTCAGTTTTGGGCAGAGCAGTTGCCATACCAGGCCATTATTTTCCTGGATAGTATGCTTTCAATGGTGCATCTGTAATGTATCGATCTGGATAAAGAATGGTTGACATATGGAAAGCGAAGGGTAGGAGTTAGCAAGTCTTTTTCCAATTGGCAGACAGTGACTAGGGGGGGTACCTCAGGGGTCAGGCCAATTAGGATTGAGATGAGGAGAAATTTCTTCACCCAGAGAGTGGTGAGCCTGTGGAATTCTCTGCCAAAGAAAGCAGTTGAGACTAAAATATTGAATGTTTCCAAAAAGTGTTAGATATAGTTAGATATAGTTCTTGGGGTTAAAGTGATCAGAGGGTATGGGGAAAAAGTAGGAAAAGGCTACTGAGGTGGATAATCAGCCATGATCATATTGAATGGCACAGCAGATTCGAAGAGTCAATAAGGACTCCTGTTCTTATTTTCTACATTTCTATTAGTGGCTGTGCTACACTTCACTGCATTCTTAATCTTCAGGACCCTCCAATTCCTTCTTCCTTAAATGCTCCTTAAAATCCCTTCTCTTCGACAAAACCTTTGGCTACCCCTCTTTTAAAACAGCTCAGAGTCCTCTACAGCTTAGAAATTTGCATGCCTCTGATATCAGGCATTGAGCCTCATTTCTATCAATATCCAGGAACTGCAGACAGTAAAAAGCTACCCATGGGTAAAGTGTGGTAAAAGATTGGGCTATCATGACACTAGCAGTCTTTTTTCCAGAATTTCAAGGTTGTGTATTGGTCAAATAAAGTGTGCCCACTTTGACCTTTTCTATTCTTAGCATGTGCAATAAAGTGGCTTAGAGGAGCAGGTGAGGGGAGGACTCCAAAACAGGCAGTCAGAGATAGATTAGAGTTGATTGGAATTGGCTCTTGCTCTATTATTGAGAACAGAGTTAGTTGTTTGGTGTGTCTCTGATAAGTTGTTTAGAGCTTTCCTAATTGCAATTTTAACATAGTATAAAAGTTGTTGGTAAAGTTAATAAAATATGTAAAAAGCAGCATAAATGAGTGAATAATACAATTAGTTAAAAACCATTAAGGATGACAGAACAGATGATGTGTCATACTGTAGCATATGGGAGTTCCTGGATGTCATTTGGTCCACAGCAAACACATCTGCAGCAAGCGATCATGAACCTACAGCATTATGCTGGGCAACAGTAACCTGGATACTTTTGCACCAGGCAGCAATTGCACCTCTTAGACTTGGGTCATCTAATTTGGTCAGTCTTCAGGGACAGGCGAGGTATGATAATGAATTAGCCATGTAAGGAGACCTAGAGAATAGGAACACAGGGGCCTCAAACTTTGCAGTTGTCCATCAGATTTGACAGTCTTTCAGCTTGTCTAGATGAGATTCAGGGCTGCAGAGTGGATGAGCTAACTGACCATGGCATCATGGCACAGAAAGCCTTTCAAGAGAGGGCACTAAGGAAGAATAATGTGGTAGGAGAGGACAGTTTAGAGAGGGGGATTGACGTCATTCTCTGCAGCAAAGAGCATGAATCAAGATGGCTGTATTGCTGTCCATTGCCAGGGTTCAGGCCATCAGTTCAGCACTGGAAACGAATGTGCAGTGGGAGAGGAAGTACCCAGTCGTTGTAGTCCATTAATGTACCAATGACATAGACAGAACAAAGAAGAAGGTTCTGTGTAGCCAGTATGAGGAGCTGCGTGCTAAATTAAGAAGCAGAACTTCAAAGCTCATAGCTTCTGCATTATTACCTGAGCTATATGCAAATTGATACAGGACAAATCAGATTAGAGGGATAAATGCACTGCTCAGAGATTGATGTGAGAGAATTGGGATCTGGTTTGTAGGGTCCTGGCAATAGTTCCAGGGAAAGTAGGATCTGTATTGATGGGACAGTCTTCACCTGAACCATGGTGAGGCTGATGGCTTTGTGAACTGCATAACATGGGAAGTAGAGAGGATAAAAAACTGAATAGTAGGGACAAAGGATCAACTTTGGGAAGATGTGGTAAATGGAAGAGTAGAGTCAAGGCCAAAGAGAAAGGTATTAATCTAGTAAATGATAAACAGACTATGACAGGAAGAGGTAGCAAGTATGAATCTAAAAGTCAATAAGACTAGAATTTACAAAGAAATTTAAAAGGTGAAACTAAAGGTTTTGTATCTGAATACTCAGAGCACTTGAAAGAAAACAGATAAGTTGAGAGTGCGAACAGAAATGAATAATAAAATCTGGTAGCCATTACAGAGACAATGTTGCATTATGACATGGATGAGATCTGAATCTTGAAGGGTACAAGGCATTTAGGAATGAGACTAAAGTAAGAAAAGGTTAGAGGAGTGGTTCTGTTTGTTAATGATGTCATTAGCACAATAGAGATGGATGATTTAACTTCAGGAAAACAAGATGTGGATAGAAATGAGAAATAATAAAGGCAAGAAGTCATTCACGGAAGTGATATGTAGATCCCCTAATAATAACTACAGGGAGAGGTAAGGAAGAAATAATGAGAACTTGTCAGGAATGCCAGTCCTTAATGCTGGAAGGTTTAACCAGCATTTTGACTGGATAAATTGAATGGATAAAACGAGCCTAAAGGAGGGACTCATAGAATATTTTCAGGACAGTTTCTTAGTACAGCATGTTCTAAAGCTGGCCAGAGAGTTGACTATATAAGAATAAAACAAAGAGCTTCAGATGCTGGAACAAAAACAGAATTGGTGGTGAAACTCAGCAAGTCTGGCGGCATCTATGGTAGAAAGAAATAGAAACATTTCAAATGTAGTGACTCTTCATCAGAACTAATAGCAACTAGGAATAAAATGGTTCTTATGCTGAAGACGGGGTTGGGGGTGGGTTTAGGAGAGCAGTGAGTGGATAGGTGGAGAGGGAGCCCAGGCAGAGAGACATATGAAAAGGGTATGTAAACGAGGGGCTTATTGATAGTAGGCCAGGACTGAAGAGAAGCTGGATAAGTGATAATGACAACTGAGAGTAGGAGACAATGGATAGGCTATGCTGAAAGTAACCCCATGTAGTGTGATAATAGGCCTGAGAATATGTTGGCTGTGCTAAAAACAACCCATGTCATAACAGGTGGCTAAGAAACATGGAAAGATATAATCAGGGGCTAAAGTTATTGAACTTGATGTTGAGTCCTAGATGCTGCATGGTTTCCAGTTTGCAAGCAGCAGCTGCCTGAGAAATTAGAGGTGAACTCAAGCACATTTAACATGTCTCAAAATGACCAAAGAAGTGTTAACGTGAAGGAAGATTCAATCTATATGTTCTGCTAATTAAAAAGAATCCCCGAGTTATCGCAAAACATGTTAAAGAGAAATTTAGACAAAAGCGTTGATTTTCTTTCTTCTTGTTTTGTTATTTTTGGGAAAGAAGAATATATATTTCCTGTGTTACTGTAAAATAATTAAATATTGCTGATAATGAGATATGCCATTAAAGTTTTTTACCTTGCAGTCATTAGGACAGATGCAAGAATGTTTCAAAGGGACCCAACAATTTACAGTGCAAGAAGAAAGGGTGCTAATTGGTTCGCAAGTCAATTCTGATTAGCTTAGGTGTTGCTATGGAGAACATAGAACATAGAACATTACAGCGCAGTACAGGCCCTTCGGCCCTCGATGTTGCGTCGACCTGTGAAGGCACCATGGATAAGATGCTCCCCATGCTTTGTTTAATTGAAAATTAGGCATTAGATCTGGACATATTCCTTTTCGTTGCAGAGAATATCCATATGGTCACATGATAGGTCCCTTCTTATGAATATAAGTCACTTCTTCTAAGTGTAAATGAACCACATAGTAAGCCCTGTTGAGAATATTAAGTTGGTTGTTCACATAATTATTAGCACAATCAGGGTTTTTCAGCCAGAGCTGCTCAATTGTGGAATCATATATCTAGTGTTAGGCAATGTATACTGAATTTTGCAAGCATGTGCTGATTGAATAAGGTTATTTCTGTTTATTGTGAACCGCCAGAGGGACATAGAACAAATTAGTCTCCAAGATAAAAGGGACTAAATAGGATTCACAGCAACAGAAAGTGATTATGGTTTTCCATCTATTTGGTCAAGAGTTAATTTTGCCAAAAGAAAGAAATAAGGGTTTGAGGAAGGACAGGCTTAAAGAATGGAACAAAACCAAAGTTGCTGGAAAAGCCCAGCAGGTCTGGCAGCATCTATGAAGGATTTATGTGAGATTTTTTTATTGTGCTCTGATGCTCCATTTTAGTTTAGGGTGGGTTGGTATTTGCCAGACAGATATTACATTCTATTAAGCATTTCTGCTTTCCGTATGAAGTGATGGAAAGTCAGCAGTTTGGACATTAAACTGTCCAGTGAACAGTACGCCATATTTGGTGCTAGTGATTTTGTCTCCTTTACGAGGTAGTTACCATCTTGCAAAACCTGAATAAAGTACAACAGTATTATGCAGAAGAAAATATTTTATTGCATTGCTATTGATTTTAGGCAACATTTTTTTTGCAATAAATTTGAAGAAAACTGTAACAATTCAACAAATAAATTCAATCATTGCATTCTATTAGCAATTTTTGAGTCACAATAGGTGAATTGTTCTCATTTATTTTCAGTAATCAAATTAATTCCTGCAGACAGTCATTTAATGAGCACTTGAATTCTGTCCATACAATAAGTTGGATGGGAACCAACATTTAATTCAATCATCATGGTTATTGGTTGATAGGATCATTTCAGAGCAGAATTCCATCTACTATTCCATTTAGTGAATTGTTACACTTAGAACATTGTCTCACAGCCGCTCACGAGCATAGTGCCTTTGTTGCTTCCTGTATTTTAGAACGGTGACAACCAAAACTGAAACAGCTACAATCAGAGCTATCAAAGATAGAACAAATGGAAAACTGGATTGGGTATTTGTCTCCACAGCTTCATTCACTTCTTCAAATCCTGAAAAAAATTCAAAACAGTCTCTTATTTTTGACTGTACCAGTCATGAGAGCTACGAAATGATGACTATTACTGCACATTCTGAAATATAAAATTTCTAATTTAGCCCTTTTATTGGTGATGTAATTAGTATATAACATGATCGACTCACCCTCAGCTTTATATTGTTTTAGATCTTTTTTCAGTTCAATGGGTCCTATTAGAACATCAGTGCTCCCCTTTGAGGAACTTATGGCCCTTTTTTGTCGATAGATGCATCCACGGTAACACCGAGATGAATAATCATAAGCTTTACAGACCACAACTTTACACTGCAGGTAGACTGAAGGATGAAGATTGAGGAATTTAAAGGCACTGAACTTGAATCGCGCAATATTATGAGCTGGTGAGGGATAATTTCCATATGTCCCATCCTTAACACATCTATAAAAAAAGCAATAATTTTAAAACATAAAATCCCACTCTAAACTAGAGTTTCAATGAAACTAAAAATACATTGGTAAATTACAGCTGGGAATGTTTTCAGTGGATGTACATACAAAACAGGTTGGGTAGCTAATCACCACATTTCCATTACTCGTGAGCTCGCACTCATAATATGTTAGGTAGATGGGAGCTGAAATCAACAGTCTACCCACCATATTTAAACAAATAATTAAGGGTCTTTTAAACTTGTTAACAAATCTATAGACCTAAATAATATGTTACCTACACCAAAATACACTTGGCATGGGTATGAGTAATCAGGTCTGAGTGGGCAGGTTGTTTGCAATGGTCTACATGAGATAAAACTAGGAAGGAAAGGGGGAGCACATCATTTGAGGTTCCTGCACATCATGGTCCCACCCCTTGTCAAGCCCCTTCCTTCTGTGCTGCCTGCCCACCAGAACTCACCCTCCTTCACCTTTCCCCGGGCTCCACAATTCCTTGTTGTGGTAAAATCTCAGGCCTTAACTTCTCTAGGCAGATTCTCTTCAGGCTTCTTTCTGCACTCCTGAGCTCTGCTGCTGCTAGGAATAATGGAGCATGATCCCTCCATCGCAGGAGAAATGGAAGACACTGCTCATTGCCTCCTAAGTTCTGTCATTGCTTCTATTAGTATTCTAAGATAAATCCCATCTGGTCTTGATGACTTTTCCACTTTAAGTACAGCCAATCTTTCTAATCTATCCTCTTTATCAATTTTTAGCCAATCCAGTATCTTAACTGATTCCTATTTGACTATGATTTTGGTAGCATCCTCTTCCTTTGTAAAAGTTATTAGATACACATTTAATACCTCAGAGATGCTTTATGTGTCCTTGGATAAATCCTTTTTGATTCCTAATCAGTTCTATTTTTTTTTTGTATTTAGATATTAAAATTTATATGCCTATAAAAGCTCTTGGATTCCTTTCCATGTTAGCTGCCAATCTGTTCTCATACTTTCTTTTTGTTGTTCTCATTTTTTTCGCTTCCCTTCTGATTTTTCAGTATTTAACCTGGTTTTCAAACGTAGTATCAAGCTAGCATCTGTTATATGCATCCTATTTCTGCTTCATCATATTGACAGAAAAAGTCCCTACAGTTGAATTTGTATCACAATTGCATTCCCAATCTTCCTCCTGCTCCCCTGTACAGCTGTACTGCTAATTCCCTGCAAGACTGATCCCTCAAATCTGAACACTGGCTGCAGAGCAAAATGCAGTCAGTCGATAATGGATGGAGAGAAAATGTTTGATTTCATCAGTGTACAATGTTGAATGTAGAAGAGGTGAAGAGGAATAAAAGAACTTCAAATACCAGGAACTTAAATCAGAGCAGTGTGGAGTCCATATTGTAAGGTGCCCAGTGTGAAGAAAACTTTAAAAGGTAATTTGGAATTAAACTAGGAATCATGTTATACTTGTGCACACATTTCATTGCTTTTTAAAATTCACAAGTACAACCAATTAGATATAAAGCAAGAAAGGGGAAATAGAGTACATTTTAAACTTTTTCTGATCGTAGACCAAAAAGAAAACTTATTCACACATTGAAGTGTTAATTCAAATGCTGGTTGATACAAACTTGTTTTTATGTATCACACAAAATAGCACAGAAAATGTTTGTTATTTGGATTTCAAGACATTTCTGTTAGTCAGGAATATTCTTTCCAATTTTGATGCAGGGAATAGCATTTCTTACCCATTTTTTATCAGGTCATAGGTCTTTGAAGTCCAGTCAAAGCTATAAGGTGATGCAGTGCAGGCATCCACAAATACAACAAGATACTGGTCTGAACTGTGCAGTTCGACCTGCACATACAGGTTCTGCCTGAGATCCACGTAGTAAGGTGATTCTAGCACTGGCCGGGTAAAGGATGGTGATTCATAGAATCTCATGCTGACATTAAACATGCCAGATTCTGTGATATTATCTATGATGTCACCGGTTGTGTTTTCTTTAGTCACATACATTATTTTGGACATTGTATCTTGTTGCATTTCACAGCCAATATTGAACTGAAGGTTTGTTTCACGAGTTACAACTGAGTCAGAAGGTGAAGATCGGATGGTGTTGGAATATATGATACTGCTGTTGTTTTCCTGTGAATGTAAAATGCACATTAAAACTTAATTTATTTCAAGGATTAAATATTTGATGCAGAGTAGAAAGTTAGTGATGCCTGAAAAATGTATTTTCAAAGTTAAAAAACAATGACAAAATTGCAATTGCAGAAAACTAAATTGGTGGAAGATGTAAGAAAATGTAGGTGGGAGGCCATTATTTAGGATGCCTTAATACCAACCTGCGTGAGAGGTTCTGAAGACATTCAACACAATAATAACGAACTCATTAAGTATCAGAGAGCAGAATGGTTATGTGAAATCACAGATATATATAATATGAGCATCAAAATATTGTTTATAGCATTAGGAAGTATTTATACAAAGGCAATATTGTCGTAGTTAGTGGGCAGGTTCACCTTGAACATTTCAACAATTAGGCCATCAAGGGATATAAAAGAATAATAGTTGGAATTCTGTGAAACCAACTCTCCTATTACTGGTTTCCTTACCTGCCATTCTGTACCACATCTGTTAAGTGGTATTTTGAAGATTACATCACTGGCTGTTATTATTGGTCTGCAATTTCGATCATTCAGATAAAGACTGTGTTCATTGAAACCCAGAAGGTTGAGGTAGGACCTACTAATTTTTGCTTCCATATAATCAGATGAACACGTCAACAATTCTGGAAAAAAATCAAATCTGATCAATCTTTTGTAATATTAAGAAACCTGTTTTAAAAACCAATAATGGGCACTGCTCTTGGTTTAGGAATGTATAATTTTAATGAATTTCTCTTCTACAATTGCAAGGTTGTTTAAAATGATTATGTTTTAATTCTTGTTAATTCAAGCTAAACTGGAGTTATGAATAGGGATATGGGACTTACTACTAGTTCTGTGACAATAAGCATATGTGTCCTGTTTGCCATAGGGGAGTGATTTCAGGCCAAGTTGGATTGAGACCTAAGTGCCGGATTTCATATATGAATACGAAAGAAAGGAGAAGCTGGCTTTACTTTACGTAGACTTACCTGGAGAACGCCCGGACAATAAAAAAGAGAAGCTCAGAGAAGGAGACAAATAATCAGCAACTGCTACAAACAGGAGAGAGAGACAGAGTTTTCTCTTAGCAGCCAGGCAAAATGTGAACGAGAGCATGTTCTCCAGTTGAACAGGTGGGTGAAGTTTTAAGGACACCGGAAGATTTGGCTTGGCACAACTGAAAGAATGAATAACCAGAGTTGGTGTTGCTGCTGGTCAGTCCAAGAATTCTCAGAAGACAGAAGAGAGTGACTTCCAACGTACACTGGATATTACAACTCAGCAAAATAGTTTGTTGGATGCAGAGAGTAACTTTGAAATGGTGCCTGCGAAGACTACAATTCTGTGGAGAGTGCAGTATAATTTGTAAATGTGACATAAGGTGTTTGTTGGTGCTATAAAGTAGCTTTTTGTAGTTTTGGCATATTAGCTGTGTAACAAATGTTGTTTAGTCATTTGTTGATTTAGTCTGTGTTACAGTAAATGTTTCAAAGATGACATCTTGCAGAAATCTTGTTATGTGATCCGTTGAGCCAGTCACTGGAATATAGATATCTTTTTGAAAGTTATTGGTCTCTGGTGAACACAATACTCTTGATTAATCGACAATACTTCCCCCATGTTTCTGCCAATTCTTCTGCCCACAATGATATTTCCATCCACAACCCCACCCCCCACCTCCCACCCCGACTCTCACATCAGTTTAAAAGGTTTTAAAGGTGTTCTTGGGTTTGACTAGAAAAATACTGTTGGTAGTGCATGTGGTTGCAAGAGGTTGATGGATATGCCACTGTAGTGATCGGAACCAGGTGGATCTTGCTGACTACGATTGGGTTGTTAACCTGGGCCAATCAGGAAGCTCTGGCTGACCAATATAAACAGGGGACTGACTCCGAGCTGGCTGGCCACAGGCAGTGTACTGTGCAAAAATAAATAAAGGGTGACTTGGTGATGGGATACTGGCCTCTGTGCAGTTATTTCAGTCACCAAAGACAATATGTGAAGCCCAGGATACCAGCTTCAAATGGCAATCAGTCACAGAAGGATCACTAGGGAAGAAGAATCACAGCTTAGCCTTGGTATCAGGAAATGACTATAAAGAGAGGACCTGACAGAAATTGCACTGTGTCAGGCATGTCAAAAGCTAATGCCTCTACCAAAATCCCTAAAGTTATATGACTCCATTCTTAATTTGATTGATATTCTGTCTGAAACATGTACATGTATAAATGCAAAAGGGCAGTTCATTCTCTGTTTTTGACTACAAACCGTCTTTATCTGCAAATGCTGTTCAGTTTTCAAAAAACATTTGATAAGGTGCTGCATAAAATCTGACTAAGATCAAAAAATGTGAGTCGAGGAAGGATCAGAATGAAGAACAAACTGGCCACAAACGAATAAATAGAGAGGAGCAATTCAACACAGTCATTTCACAAACAAAAACAAAGTTGCTGGAAAAGCTCAGCAGGTCTGGTAGCATCTGTGAAGGAGAAAACAGAGTTAACATTTTGGGTCCGGTGACCCTTCCTCACCAGACCCGAAATGCTAACTCTGTTTTCTCCTTCACAGATGCTGCCAGACCTGCTGAGCTTTTCCAGCAACTTTGTTTTTGTTCCTGATTTACAGCATCCGCAGTTCTTTTGGTTTTTAACACAGTCATTTGATTGATAAATGGTGGGAAGTGTGGCTTCAGAAAGAGTTGTGTTGCAAATGCTAATTATCAAAATGTACATAAACAACTTGGATTCAGGAGTCAAAATTACAACTCAAAATGTATAGATGACACCAAATTGGGGTATAGTGAAACATAAAATATAAGAAAGAGCTGCAACAAACTATAAGAAGATGAGAATAAACTTGCAAAATGCAATTGACAAAAGAATTTGAACCTAGGTAAGTGTGTGGTAATAGATTTTGGAGGTAAAATAAAGTTAGATATTGCTCAGGAAATAAATGTATCAATGTGGTATGGAATCAAATGGATCTGGTACAAGTAGACAAATTACTAAAAGTATTCACCCTGAGGTCAATTTAAAATGAAAGTGGTGATGTTAAATTTGTACAGAGCAAAGTTAGATCATATTTGGAATGCTGTGAAGAATTACTATCTCTATATTCAAGAAAGATGACAAAGGCATGGGGAATTGTGCAAAAAGGATTATCTAGGAAGTTCCCAGAACTGAAGTGTTATTCTGTGATGAAAGATTGAACTTTTCTGCCATTTTAAATTAGCTCTTTGGGTAAATGACGAAAAACTCCAGGCTCTTCCCACAAAAAGACAAAATGTGATGACAGCTTCTTTGAAAATAAGAGGTAGATTCACAGCTTGCTGCCACTATGTGATGCGGTCATTGTGATTGGAAGCCATGGAAGTGAATATCAAGCAACTTCTGTAATGGGTGCGCAACTTCAACTTTGCACCTGGGTGGTAAGTTGAAAATCTTTCTGTGACTTTTTTTGGCCTCATTTATTGTTAAAAGTACTGATAAGAATTTCAAACTGAAGTTCAAATAAGATGTGTCAATTCATAATTTCACCACATTTCTTAAATTACATTGCAATTTTGACACAAGACGTATAACAAAGCTCACCATCATCATTTGGCAGAATGTAGTAGCTTGCTGAAAACCCTTGTCTAGTTACACTGGAATCAGTTTTAAAATAAACTGTCATACTGTTAGATGTTGATGTAAATGTCTGATCTGACCCACTGCAGAATTTTGCAAGCAACACGGAATTTGTTGACGGTCCATCATATATTGCAATATAATCATATCTGCAGTTTGACGAAACTTCCAGACTGTTAAGAAAATGATCAGTGATTAAAAATGAACTTACTTAATAAATAAGGCTATTCAAAGTATGCTCACAAAGATAAGCATGTTAACAGGAATTTCATGACCTAAACAAAGAGCATGAGAATTTTTAAAATCCTTTGTGGAATATGGGTCTTGTTACCTATCCCTATTGGTGGACAGCACTGTCCTATCATTTGGAAATAATGCAATGGAATCTTTTTCATCCACATAGGAGGTAGAAAGGGCCTTAGTTATACATCTCATTTGTAGGACAGTATCTGTAACAGTTCAGGATTTCCTCTTCTACTGGAGCATCAGCCTTAGTTTTAGCACTCAAACCCTAGGACATGAACCCAGAAGTCTGCAATTTACTGACAAAAGTATTGTCAACTGAGTCATGGCTCACAATCTCAAACCAAACAGCCCATTCTTTCGACAGTACTGGCATGCTTTGTGATTTTCAGGAGAAAATACTCTAAAATATTTACATTGACAGTGTCCCCCAACTTCTCAAGATTATCATACATATAATTAAAAATATTCTAGTTCCAATATCCATTGTCCAACCTAGCTGTTTTCAATTAATTTGCTGATATTTATTATTAATGATCTAAGTTAAGATTTGTCCACCAGTCCCTTTGTTGTCTTTTTATTTCATGAACTATTTTTATTTTAAAAAGATTTATCTGCACTTCCCTTTGTTGTCTGAAATAATTGGTCCATTTCACTTTGAATGCTTCCAGACACCCTAATACTTGTTGCCGGATCACATCAGTAAATCTTCTAACAGTAAAATGCTAATCTCTATTCAACTGAGTACCAGACAGGCAGGAACGATTTCTGATATGTTTCAGTTAGTCATGTGTTGTTTCTTGTTGATAAAAAGCGAGAATGCCTCCTTACTGTTTTTCTAAAGGGTATACATTCAGTTTACAGCTATTTCTTTGGGGCCAAGAATTCTTGACACTCATTAACAAATTATTGGATGCAAGTTGAACAAATCCATCAGCAATGGTTAATTGACAGAAAGTACTCCACTCACACCGACATTAAAATATGGTAGTGAAAACATATTTACTTACTCAACATAGGTGAATTTCAGCTTTATTCTTTGGTCACTGTCCCCTCTTATATACCAAATGCATTGTTCATTATCTCCATAGAAAGATGGGTAATTGGGACTTGTAATAGACCCATACACAGCTTCAAGATAGCCTCCACATGATCCATCTATTAATAATAAGGAAATGTAGTGCAATACATGGCAAAAGAATGATTTTGTTTCCTCTACCAAAATTCTTTGCCAGTTTTCTCCAGATTTAGAAAAAATGAGCACAATTATGCTTCACACACACTCCTAAGTTTTCTCTGCTATTAAAGCTGATTATGATTTATCTTTCTCATCTCATAATCTTGCTCAAATCACTCCTTGTTACCATAAGATTGAACAGCTAACAGGTACCATCTTGTACCAGGCTTAAATCACTGTCGATTTTCTTGACTATAGATATTCATGGGTGAACTGTTGAGGCATCACAGCTGAGCCTGATTCAGATTTCACCAGATGCCCATTCTCATGGACTACTGATGAGAGCTATTGAGAGGTTATCTTCATTAGCCTCCCTAGTTTATCGGAGCTCTAAGGCCAACAATAAACCTACCATTGCCGCGGCTAAGATCAAAACATAAATGGCAAATAAATTCCTTTTAGTATGGCTGAGTTTTTCACTGAACAAACTTTGAAAATGTTTGATGGAGCCAAATTTTTATTCTACCATATAGTACTGAACAAAAAAATACGTTTATGTAAAAAATTGATTCTGAATTGCTAGTTACAGGGAATATCCCAATTATAACGGGATGTCATGTTGCAGCTGTACAGGACATTGGTTAGGCCACTTTTGCAATACTGCATTCAATCCTGTCCTCCCTGCAAAGATGCTGTTAAACTTGAAGGGGTGCAGAAAAGATTCACAAGTATGTTGGAGGGTTTGAACTATAGGCCTAGAGCATCAGAGGTTGAGGGGTGACCTTATATGGAGCACAGATAGGGCGAATAGCCAAGGTCTTTTTCCCAGGGTAGGGAGTCCAAAACTAGAGGGCATAGTTTTAAGGTGAGAGAGGAAAGATATAAAAGGGACCTAAGGGGCATCTTTTTCATGCAGAGGGTGGTGCATGTATGGAATGAGCTGCCAGAGGAAATTGTGGAGGCTGGTACAATTACAACATTTAAAAGACAGCTGGATGTATATATGAATAGGAAGGGTTCAGAGGGATATGAGCTAAATGCTGGCAAATTGGACGAGATTAATTTAGGATATCTGGTCACCATGGACGAGTTGGATCGAAGGGTCTGTTTCCATACTGTACAACACTATGACCCTTTAAATACTTATTATTTTCTCCTCATTCATACAATATTGAACTTTTTGACTTTGAGGTTGAAAAGCTAATATTGAGAAAATGAAATTGCGCAGCAATGTCACACTCAAATACGTAAGTCGACTGAGACTATTCTTTATGAGTTGTTTTCATGGAACTGTACCATGGGCTTTAAAGTTATGAAGTAGAGTAGTTTAGCATATGTTAGTTACCTACTAAATATTATTTAGGCAATTTTTTAGCTTACTGATTAAACTAAATTCCTAAAATGTGAAATTTTGTGTAACCCTTCCAGTCAGTGATTGGGAATTCAAATCATGTTTTTAAAAGAATGAGTCTGTTTGATGATTGTTTTGAAGATCAATTGGCATTTGTCACTGCACGAATGAATCTCAATATAGAGATTTGTATTCAGGCACTGTTTTAAACTCTGAGGAAGTTTTCTTTGGAATGAAATAACCTTTAAATGGAGAAGGACTTTGTTATTTCCTTTTTTCACAAATAAAGTTAAGGTTGGAAAAGTGATGTTTAATTTCTGGTAATTCTGTCACAATTTTTAACGTCTCTAAACTGCCTTTCAGTGTCATTAACACTGGCAAGGCAACATTGATATTAATCTACAATATAAGTTCACAGTTAAGTCAATTTTTTTCATGTTTAATGACATGAATGTGAAATTAATGTGAAAATTTCAGTAGAGATTTTGTTCATGAAAACAGAAATGCTGGAGCTAGATTTACTACCAACAAACAATTTTGAAATTCAGCCCATTTAAGGTAAATATAAAATGGCATTTTGCTGTTGCATAAGGATGTGTTAGAATAACCATGATAAGTATCAGTTAAAAATCTATTAAATAGATTATTGTTATTCAGCATAAAGTCAACTGTTTGAACCACATGGTCAAATCACTTGAATACTTTTCCTTGCTTTTTAAATCTCCATGAAAACGTGTCAGAAATGCAAAAGTGCAATTCATTATCTGTGAAGAGCTAAAAACTAATCTTTGTACACTTTCCAAAAACATTTGATAAGGTAAGCGTTATAAACTCATGGCTAAGAGCAGGCAATGTGCAGTCAAGCAAATAGTAGCAAAATGAGCAGCAAACTGGCCATAAACAAGAAAATAGAGAGGAGCAACTCATTGTCGTTATTCAGTTGGCAAATGATGGGACGCATGCTTTAGAAAAAAATGATCCTACATTCACTGTTTTGCAAAATATATATAAATAACTTGGACTTAGGAACTGGAAGTTCAGTTTAATAAGTTGCAGATGACATCAAATTGGTGTTATAGTTAATACAGGAAAGAGCTGCAACACAATATAAGAATGAATTAATCAACTTGCAGATTGAGCTGGTAATTTATCAATTAATTTCAATCTAGATAAATACATAGCTATATATCTTGAAACAAAAATAATGGGAACACATAATTGTTTAAAATTAAATAAATCAATATGATATGGAAACAGAGGGATCTGGTGCCTCACATAAATCGATC